GCTTGAGCCCAGAAGTTGGAGGTTGCTGTGAGCGTGATGCCATGGCACTCTACCCAGGGGGACAGCTTGAGGCTCCGTCTCAAAAAAAAAAAAGGACTACATAGTATTCCATTGTATATGTATACCGTAATTTTTAAAGCACTGCTCTGTTGACATTTAGTTTATTTCCAATGTTTTGCTTCTGTGAATGGTGCTATAATGACTAGATATTTGCCTGCATGAATTATACTAAGTAAATTCCCAGAAGCAGAAGAACTAGGTCAAAGGGTAAAGTACATTTTTATTTTTAATAGATAATTGCCAAATCACCCTTGAAAGAGGAAATATTAATTTACACCACTACCACCATTGTACGGAAAGTTTCTTTTTCCTCAAGCTCTCTATAGCACAGTGTGTTTAGATAACAGTTGGGATTCTTGACATTATTGCAACGTTGTTCAAACCATGAAAATAAAGATGAATTAAAAGTGTCATTGGGCCCCATATAACTAAAAGTGACATGATTTATTTAGAAAAATTGCTTTCTACTCAGGATTCAGCAGTCACCTTTCTGTCCTGATTTTAGCACAACCCATGTGTCTAATTATTTAGATCCCATAACATATCACTTGTGGATTGTACCACATTGACCTATTATTCAAAACAATATCTCTTTTTCTGGCTGAACAGACAAGTTTCAATCAGAAACTAAATATAATAAAAGAATCTAACATTGCTTCACTTGAAAATTCTGTTTCTCTTTTGGGATGAAAATTAACATATGACATTGCTTTGGTACGTAACAGGTACTCTTTTTAGTGTAAATGATTATTACTAGTGGCTGCAACTAAAACCTGGTACAGTGTTTGAACCAGGTAGAATAAAAGTCTGTAATAGTCTTGCAAGCCAAAATCAGTCAGACATGTTTTTTGTACAGACTCTTCCTCTCCAGATAAGAAACGTTTTTAAATTATTAAAGAGTATTTAAAAATGCTGGGCACAGTGGGTCATGCCTGTAATCCTAGCCTCTGGGTAGCTGAGGTGGGAGGATTGCTTGAGGCAAGGAGTTGGAAACAAGTCTGAGCAAGAGCAAGACCTCATTGCTACAAAAAATAGAAAAATTGCAGGAGGAATAGAAAAATTAGCTAGACATAGTGGCATGTGCCTGTAGTGCCAGCTACTGTGAAGGCTGAGGCAGGAGGATTCCTTGAGCCCAAGAGTTGGAGGCTGCAGTGAGCCATGATGACACCTGGGCACTTTACCCCAGTGACAGAGGTGAAGGAAGAATGGGGAGTTATTGCTAATGGTATCGGATTTGGGGTAAAGAATGATGAAAATATTCTGGAATTACAATAGATAATAGTGGGGGTTTTTTTGTTTTCTTTTTTTTTTTTTTTT